TGTATGAACTTGAAGAATTAATTGATTGAATTATAGTATGATATATATAAATTAATGTTAATTATTATCATACACATCACATAAACAGTTTTTTTTAACTATTTTTTATATTCACTGATTTTCAAATATCATTTTACAGCATTTGTAAAGCATTTCAAAATAACGTGCAACGCACGTTTAGCTGTGACTAGTCTACCTAAAAATCTGTAATTTTACATTTGCATGTATTTTATTACTTATAGCTCTTTTTCTTCATTGCCATAAAATTATCAACCATAACAACACGAACTAAAATCCTTAATACAACATCACAACCAAAAGTATAAATGAACAATTTTGTCCGTCAAAGCTCAAACAAAGAGTCGGAATTCATATTATGATCAATCATTTCTTAGGCCATATACTAACTTTTTCTTTCTCATACTTCAAATACAATGCAGAAACTGCAGCCACAAAATAAACTTGAATTAGAACTATAAAAGGTGAATGGTAATTTATAACGCCTTTTCCTATAGCCAGCTCCACCAACAATAAAGCGGATAGTCCGAGAATCACGATTCAGCCATTGACCCGCTCTGAATAAAGGCTAAACCAAAATTCCACGTTCAACCCTTCTGAAACCGGCTCCAATAGTGGCACAGGTGGAAGGTACACACTCGACCTTGATCCAGATCCAGATTTCTTGCCCTGCCGGGTCTTGGCAGCTCGCCTTTCTTGCCCGTGCCACTTCGGTAGAGGAGGCGAACTTGGGAGAGCCGAACCTCGATGTTGTCATCCGGGTCGACTGAGGGTTCTAGGAAAGAGGATGAGTCTTCATCTGTGAAGCGCGTTGAGTGAAAGAATGGTCTCCCGGTGGAAGTGAGTGGATTTTGTATGCTGGGTTTACGCGTGTGTGCTGTGAAAACATTGGGTTTGATTTAGAGAGTTGCAGAGTGAAAGGTGGAAGTGTCGCCATTTTTATAAGATTTTGAATGTGGGCTACTGTAAGACTAGCCAATTGCACGAATGAATATTTGGAAGAAGCAACAGAGAACTCTCGAGTATAAATCCAATCTAATTTTGCATTACTTAATGGCTGTACAATGGCTGAATTTATAGAAGTACAAAGGAATCAAATCTAACAAACTCTAAAAAGTAAAGAAAATGAATTTTAATATATACAACAACTTTTCTCTAACTAACAGCATATTCCTTTTGGCCTGCTTCTGGAAGCTTTCTTTTCTTCTTCTCTAGATCCTTCTTGCCTTCTAATGATCTGATATGGGTTACTCGTTCATGGGCTGTTTGATGATATGTTATGGGCCTGCTTTCCAATCTGTTATAGGCCTACTGGTGCGACTCAGTTTCTCCTTCATTCTTCAACAGCCCCACACAAGATGGAGCGTAGATGTCTTCTACTCCCATCTTGAGCATATAAGAATAAAGGTTTTGAGAGCCTAAGCTCTTAGTGAAGATGTCTGCCACTTGTGAACTACTAGATACATGTTTTGCCAAAATGCTTCCTTCTTGAATCTTATCTCGAATTAAGTGACAATCAATTTCTATATGTTTAGTTCTCTCATGGAATACAGGGTTTGTGGCAATATGTATCGCTGACTTGTTGTCACAATACAAAAGAGCAGTCTGTGGATGTGAAACCTGCAGATCTATGAACAAATACCTGAGCCAAGTCAATTCGCAACAAACATTAGCCATGGCTCTATTCTCTGCTTCTGCAGAGGATCTAGAGACTACAGTTTGTTTCTTTGATTTCCAAGATACCAAAGAGCTTCCTACAAACATGCAGTAACCTGTCACCGACCTTCTCGTGTCTGGACATGCCCCCCAGTCTGAGTCACTGTAGCCT